CGGCTAAAGAGTCGGAAGTAAGCAAGCCGAAGGCAGGTCCAACTCACATAAAGGAAGGGACACAAACCTATAGAGGACTGACCAATAACGTCTTATCATTCCTCATTTAAACGAAAATTTCTCGTCTGGTTCGGATCAGATCCTCCAAGTTTCTAGTTAGCTTTGCACGGTCTCAAGGTATATCTCATCTCTTCGAAACCCTATAAAAACACGAAATTGAAAGTTTACAGATCTGTTTAACCATTTTTAAACCTCGAAACACGACATTATTAGATCGAAGCATAAAGGTTCATAGTAAAAAACTTATGGGGTGGACCAAATTAGAGATAATTATTCTACCACGCTAACACATTGAGGGGTAATAATTATATAATGGGGTGAATGAATGAATTGATATGATAAAATCGATCGTAATCTTCCTCATCATTTATGAAATGGTTTCCAAGCTCTTAAACCAAAGTTTTTATGCATAAATTTCTGTAATTTTGGTATATAATATGGTTTTAATGTAGAGAAACAAGAAAGATAAAGCAAGGTAGGGCATGATAATTGGTATGAAAAATTATGAGATGCTTTTATTTCTCTCAATTCTTATTGGAATAAATGTATGTATATGGTCCACATTATGCAGCTCACAATCATTATTAATGGTGGGTTCCCATCCCATTGACCTGCGCCATAGGGGCCATGGCCACCCAAACCCTAATGCCTCGCCTTTTTTTTATCTCTTTCTTCTGTCTTTCATGTTAGCAAAATTTGTATTAACTTTAGAATTTAGAATTTGAATTTGACATTTTGTCGTCCCGATATTTTCCTACATCCCGTGCAACATTCCTACATACTAACACGAGTCGTTTTAACATGTTTTGTCTTTATTCACATGCTTCCGAGTAAAAGTTTTAAAAAATCACTCAACATAGAATTGCTCCAAGTAAAATACGATTAACTTTGAAATTCCTATGATTGAGTCACTTGTGCATCTTATTAGTATAGGTAGTAACTTCCAATTCTTTTAAGTCTTTCTTAGTCGTCCTGTGCTCAAGATCATTCTGAATGTGGTATCGGTTCATTTACGTGCCCTTCCTTTACTTGGATGCCACACAAAAAAAGTCTCGTGTATGAATTTCTATAATGTCATTTGCTTTGACCCATTACGTATAGTTGTCAACCTCACAGTTTTAAAATGAGTATGTTAGGGAGAGATTTCCCCACCTAAATCATACGAATCATTGAGCTAATATTGATAGCTACTCACTTGATCTTATTAATTTAATATTTGAAAGTGATATCAAAGAGGAGATTTTCCGGTAGTAGATCTTTGTATGTGATGCCTAGTGGTTCCTCTGCAAGTAGAAATAAGAGTGCTCCCCATCATCGCACCATGACGCTCATGCCTTTTTGTAAAAGGAAAGAAAGAGCGTTGAAGAAGGAAAATAAAGGTGACCATTTTGAGTCGCTCAAAGGCAAAGAGAAACAAAAAGCATTAACCTTTTCTCCACTTCTCATGTTTAGGTTGAACCCTTATAAATATAGTAGAAAAAACAAGATCCAAATGAATGAAATGATGTGGGTAAGATCTTAATTCAATCGAGATTGTAGTTATAAGATCTCACGTCAATTGGAGAGAGGAACGAAACATTCTTTATAAGGGTGTAGAAACTTCTATGTAGGAGACCATTTTAAAATTGTGAGGCTGATGACACAGGTCAAAGTAGAAAATATCTGCTAGTAGTGAGTTTGGACGGTTACAAATGGTATCAAAGCCAAATATTGAGTAGTGTGTTAACGAGAACGCTGGCCCGAAAGAGGTGGATTGTGAGATCCCACATCGGTTGGAGAGAGAAATGAGGCATTCCTTATCTCCCTAACAGATGCGTTTTAAAATCGTGAGGCTAACAACGATACGTAACGGGTCAACGCGGACAATATATGTTAGTAGTGACTTGAATTGTTACAAATGGTATCAGAGCTAAACACTCACCAGTGTGCCAACGAGGACGCTCGGTCCTAAGGGGTGGATTGTGAGATCTCACATCAACACCACCCTTCCTTATAAGGGTGTGAAAACTTCTCTCTAACCGACGTGTTTTAAAATTGTGAGGCTGACAACGATACGTAACGGGTCAAAGCGGATAATATATGTTAGCAGTGACTTGGACTCTTACAAATGGTATCAGAGTTAAACATTGACCAATGTGCCAACGAGGACACTCGACCCCAAGGAATGGATTGTGAGATCCCACATCAACACCACTATTCCTTAGAAGGGTATGAAAACTTTTCTCTAACCAACATGTTTTAAAACCGTGAGGTTGACAACGATACGTAATGTGTCAAAGCGGACAATATAAGTTAGCAGTGGCTTGGACGGTTACGAAAACGCTTGGCTTCAAGGGCTGGATTGTGAGATCCCACATCAACACCACCATTCCTTATAAGGGTATGATAACTTCTCTCTAACCGACGTGTTTTAAAACTGTGAGACTGACAACGATATGTAACAAGATAAAAAAGACAATATCTAGGAGCGATCGATTTGGGCTATTACAATAATAGTGGATGATTTGAACCCGAGCTTTAAAAAAACAATGATGAGAATACGTACACTTTTTTATGTTAGGTTATTTGTTTGGTAAAGGGAAGGCAAATGCTTTTATGGCAGAAGATAAAGGGTGGAAGAACAAGAAAAGGGCGTTTGAATTTTGAGTCCAAAGCAAACTAAAGTCGAATTTGAATGCCAAGAAGAAAGGAGGAGAAGAAGAAGAAGAAGAAGAAGAAGAAGAGAAAAAGTTCAATAAAGATGTAAATTAAAAGGGGATTTAGTTGGCAGAAAGGGACAGCCAAGAGAAAATGCAGCTAACTCTTGAATGCCATTTTAAAGAACATATACCAATGGAATAAAGGTGCTTTTAACTTCCCTTTTTGCTCTTACAATTGCAATCAATTCACGTTCAAAATCAAACGATTCAAATTTCTGATCTCAAAGTTGAAAGCGTATGTATTTATTGTTGAGCTAAACTTACTTTATTGCGAGCGTTGTAATCTAATGTACTACACGTTCATATAAGATATACTTTATGTGAGATCCCATAATCCCATATTGGTTGAAGAGAGGAATGGAGCATTTCTTATAAGGGTCGGGTAACCTCTCCCTCTCCTTAGAAGGCCATTTTGAAAATCGTGAGGCTAACTGTGATAAGTAATGGGCCAAAGTGGACAATATATGCTAATAGTGAATTTGGGTTATTACAAATGATATTAGAGCTAGACAACGGGCGGTGTGCCAGCGAGAACGTTGGCCCCTAAGGGGTAGATTGTGAAATCTCACATTGGTTGGAGAGGGGAACAAAACATTCCTTATAAAGACGTGGAAACGTACGACTCAAAGCAGACAATATCTGCTAGCGGTGGTGTAGAAACGTATGACGATAAGTAACTAGTCAAAGCGGACAATATCTACTAGCGGTGGTGGGCTTGAGCTGTTACTCATCAATTTTTAATACGACGGTACTGGTTTGGAAAATCAAAACCTACAAATGTCTTAGCATGGTTAAATTAATATCAAACCTAAAAATATCGTATGATCAACAACTCAAGTAACTAAACTTACCCAACAGAAACTATAAGAGTTGGATTGGGTTAAATTATTTTTCCAATTTGAGTTGAGTTGAACCAATTAGAAACTTTGTTTTGATCGTAATTCAAAAATAGAGTTTGTTACAAAAATTAAGAATATTTAAATATTTGAAGTTTGTAACGGATAGGAGTAATATTTGAATTTTATGAAATTTTAGTTATTAGAATAAAAACACAATTTTTTAAAAATAATTTAAGGAACTAGCAACGAAAATCTAACCCAATAAAAAAAGAACAAAAAATTAGGTCGGATTGAATTATGAATCATGATCGAGTTATTCGAATCACTAACTTAACCAATAAAAAATTTAGGGTTTACGAATCGATTCATATTCACCTCAATCTCTATCATTTCATACCAAGAAAAATGTGTAAAAGCTTAGATACCCAATGTGGTGCCAAGTGGGGGAATTGTTGGGAGTTTGATAGCAACAGCTTGAGCGGTGCAGACGGGTTGCTAGCTGGTGTGTACCTTAAACAATAATGGGAATAACTCCAAACCACAGCCTCCCAACATCTCTTCTCAAGCTTTGATTTCGTGCCATATGGGTTTTTCCCTGTTCGTAGTGTGATCGTTGAGATGCCAGAAACATTCATTAAATTTGTCATTAGGTTTGGTTGGGAAGCTAACCTTTAAGTCTTAAAACCATTAATACCCATCTCCATTGATGCCCAAACATCCCCACTTTTCATCTCTAACTCGTTATGCTATGTCGTTCACATTTAAGGTAACATACTCATATGTACTATCATTAAATGAATAATCTTAGTGTAAAATGGACATGAATAATCTTATATGATCTCAGTGTTAATTTGTGAGATTTCACATTGGTTGGAGAGGAGAACGAAATATTTCTTACAAAGGTGTGAAAAACTCTTCCTAGAAAATACATTTTAAAACCATGAGGCTAACAATAAGATGTAATGAGCCAAAATGGACAATATTTATTTGCGGTGGGCTTAGGTCATTACAAATGGTATCAGAGCTAGTCACTGGATAGTGTACTAGCGTGAACGCTGAATGTCACGGTCATGCTTGTCCAAGGCATGTCGCCCATGGCCGCATGCCCGTGACACGCCGAAACCCTTGCCTTGTACAACTTTATTGCTTTCTTTTACTGCTTTCATGTTATATTATTTCTTTATTGTTTTTTTTAAGAGTATGACGTTTCGGCGATGTCTTTGCTACGCTTGGTTGACATGAAATGCTTCAAAATGTGCTGTAGGGGTTGTGACTAGATGTCAAATTCTCCTTACCCGAAAAGTTATATACTCTTTAAGCGGTTGTTGTTGCCTTTTTGCTTGCATGCTATCTAACACCGCTCTCTCTCTCTCTCTTGCTTTCAAAACTCTTTTTCCGAAACCTCTCTCCCCGCTATCTAAAATCTTCTCTTGAAATCGAGACTCGAGCTTTGTATTCACGTTCTCCGACCGTAGACAACGTGACTCGAAGTAGATTTGACTCACTCGAGTGCCGCAAAATCACCAAATCTACTGCCTAGAAACCGCAATTGTGACAGTAGACCTCCAAACAGGATAGATTGTGAGCCGTCTAACCAAAAAAAAACTCCTCCACTATGTTTAGTACATGCTACATTGAATATGGATGCAATTTTCAAGTAATAAGGACCATTCAATTAATGCCCATTTAATAAGATATTTGTTTTTTTCTAAAACATTTCTACTCTAAGGCTCGAAAATACGCTGACGTTGTTCGTGACGTTTAAATTTCTCACAACCAACATGTTAGTTGGGTTAGAACAATTGTCACACAAACACTGTCTCATTGTATTCATAAGTAGCTTAGAAAAAACTTTCATGGTACTAAATTTTTTTTCTAGTAATATAAACATATATACTCTTTATGATCTCATATTAAAAATTTTCTCTTGTAAATAATTCCTTAATGTAGGTCGGCTCGTGATCGATATCGAGCTAGTCAGGTAGTATTACAATTATACCCATACACATAACATCATGAAAGGTTGCTTTCAAAGCCACACAAATCTATGCAAAAAGTGTAATGCTGTGGGAGTTTGTTCTTTTAGAAGAGGCAATGATAGCGAGAAAGAAGCGTGGGGTTTTGTGAGAGTGATGAGTGCGACTCATCGATAGACAAAAGGGAACATCCATTTTCAAGTTGCTCGCTGCCCTGCCATCACCCATCAGCCATCACCCACCACCCACCAGCCATCACCCATGCCATGCCATGCTCTCTGGTTTAAATATTTGTGCTATGTCTGTTCCATTTGAATTAGATCACACCATTGATTGGGAAATATATATATATATATATATATAAATATGTTGGAGTACGAGGGTACATGAACGAATCGACACGAGATTCAAATAAGAAGGACCCAAATGAAAAAAACTTGAAATAATTAATAGTTACTATATCTATATCAACAAATTGTATTTTATTTTCCTTTAAAGTTAAACATAATTGATTCGGAACAAATTTATTTTGAATGATCAAACATGTTGAACGATTTAAATTGGTATTTAAGAATAGTTAAATAGCGTGATTAGGTGTGGAAACCTCCTCCTAATAGACACGTTTAAAAAAAAAACTTTGAGGGAAACCCAAAAGGAAAACCTCAAAAAGAACAATATCTACTAATGGTAGATCTGGGTGATTACAAATGGTATCATACCCCGACACTGGCAACTAAGAAGGGTGAATTGTGAGATCCCACATAGATTGGAGAAAGAAACGAAGCATTACTTATAAAGGTATGAAAACGTCTCCCCGAAGAAAAGTCTAAAGAAGATAATATATACTAGTAGTGGATTTAAATGACTTTTTTTCCCTCCACTAGAAAGTGCACAAGGAATTTCCTAGGATTCCATACATAATGGTGACTGCTTGAGCTTCAAAAAGTCAGTGTAGGCCACTAAACCTATATTTGGGCAAAGTTGAGATGCTCTCGTAGTGTAAAGGTGATACTCAAGTGCTAGGTTGTTAGATAGACAAGATCTTGCCACGGGAGTCGTGAACGTAAGGAAACGTTACAGCGTATCGAACTTATAAAGGGGTTCTTAGACAGTAAAGTCTCATACCCAAAATTCAAAATTCAGATTCAACACTTGATGATCTTAGTACTCTCATGCATCTGTGCAATATGATCATATTATCTACTTGGCTTATTTTAAACTGTTTCTAAGAATGGAGATTATCTCCACAAACCAACACGAGTCATGTTTACTCGAACTACATCTGTTTATAACTAGCTTATGAGAGAGCTATGCCAAGTAACATGAACGGTTATCGGCATTTGACGTTGTTTGACGTATTTGTTTAATCATGAATGTCAAGACAAATGTGCAAAAAAGTTGTTTTTAAAGTGGTATATAGGGTTGAAATTGTATGTAAAAGTTTATTCTTTTTAATTTTATGTTGGTGAGATAATATATAAAGTCATGGAAAAAGGCATGTAAAAAGTAGGCTCGAAAAGGGCACGAGTGCTATGTGGGTTGGTACCTACTTTTTTGTATATTTTGAAGTTTTATGCAAATATTTGAAATATATCTATTTAGTTTCGGAAGTTTCACGATAGTCGAGTGTCGGTTTATTGACTAAATGCTCCCTTCTCTTCTTCTCTCTTGTTTTCGATGGACTCGTTATCGTCATTGTAGAAGCCTCCAACCATCTTGAAATAGCCCTTCGACTAAGAACGATAGGTATCTCAACTTTGTTGAATTGCATAAACACAAAATTTTTAAAACATTAATCAACTTTGTTGAACCTTGTTTTTTGGGTACTATCAATACTGTTATTTTGACGTACTAATGACCTAGGTATTCCTCTACATTCCCCGCTACATGATCACGTTACCTATTTTTCGCTTCTCAAAAGTAATGATTATCCTCACAGACCAACACGAGTTTTTCTAGCATGTTTTGTCCTCTCTCACATGCATCTGAAGAAAATTCTTGACAGATCACTTAACATAAAATTACTTCAAACAAAACACGCTTAAAAGCTACCTTCAACTTTACAACGTTGTACTCTTTTTCCTCTTGGAAAGAAGCTTTTCTATGAACAAAACACTTTAATTATCCAAAGTAAACCCAACTTTTTCTCTTTAGGATATCATATTGTCCGTTTTACCTTTTTACATATAATCGTTAGACTCACGATTTTAAAATGTATGGACTAAGGAGAGGTTTTCATACCTTTATAAGAAATGTTTCGTTCCAGTCTTCAATCGATGTGAGATCTCAAAACCTATCTCCTTGGAGGCCAGCATTCTCGCTAATACACTACTCGGTGTTTGGCTTTGTCACGATAGCAGATATTATTTGTTTTGGGTTCTTATATTAATTACTCACACACCCACCACAAGCATTGACTCTCTCTCCTCTTCTTCCTTCTTAAATGCTTGCCATCTCCTTGTTTCTTTGTTCTTCCATGGCTGTCTCTTGTGAAGCTTCGTGGGGGTTTCTCAAAGGGTTTCCAACAGAATTTATTGGCATTCTGTCCACCTCCTTCTCCATCGAAACATCCAAAAACACTTCCTTCTTTCATTTTGGAGGTGGGCATACTGCCAACTGAGCTCTGTTCGGCTCCTCTTTGTAACACCCTCACGATCAAATATTGTCTTTTTCAGGCTTTCCCTTCTCGACTTACCTAAAATGTATAGGTTATAGAGAAGCTTCCATACCCATCAGCAAAAATTTTTTTTTTTTCTTTTTTTGAATTTCTGATGGGTTTTGTGAGTTTCATAGTATCATGGGTTTTAAAAAGTTCATCTAGAATTGTTGAGAGTGAGCCCATCGGCTAATTTAAGTAAAGAATACTTCTCCATTAGTATGAGGTCTCTTGGAGAAGCGTTCAATATCATACTACTGTGGAGATCCGTGATTCCTAACGGAATCTTTCAAAATGTTGGGTTTTTGTTGAAAGTTATGGAAGTTTACCATTAAACAGTAAAAACCAGATTTTTAGTTGAAATTTTGATTGTCCCTATATTTATTAAGACGCAGGCATTGATTTATGTACGTGGGCTGATGATTAAAGCCTGACAAACCCCATGCTGCTGCTGCTGCTGCTCTAACCTAATCTTAGTAATATCTCATTAGCAGGATTCTTTAGGCGAGTTTTTGCTTTTGCCGGCGACCCAATACGACGGCGGCTACGGCGGGGCTGCAGCTAGCCCAGCTCCGATGATGATGCTTGTTCTTTTACTTTCTTGGTCTATACTTTTTTGGAGAACAAAATAATGGGAAATGGAAAGCTTTTTACTATCAAATTCATATGATAAAAGTATTAAAACGTATGATCAATATGGGTCATTTAGTTTGGAGTTTTGTTTAAAATGTTTGTGAATAAGATATCTGAAAATCAGCTATAGCATGTGACGGATGACACCCGAGTAAAAAAGGTGTATATGAATGAATCTTAACCACATACGAACAAGAGCATTCTTGATGATCAAAATAATTGAAAGTTACTATCTGTATTTTTTTTCGGTAGCTCAATTTTGAGAATTTTATACTATGACTCACGTGAGTAAGAACAAAATATGAAATGGCTAGGATGGATACGTAGAAAATGTTAGTTAGTTTACTTCAATGAAGTCAAATTATTAAAATAATTTTACTAATCAATTTTTTTTTTTTTTTGGCTTATTATTCACTCATTTTTACATTTAAAAATGAATACAAAATGAGTTTAATAATAATGATTTTTTATTTATTTTTGTTCCTTAATTATTTTAGAAAAATGGAGCCTTTTGCTTTAATTTATGTAATTACTATTTGAGTAAATGATTGATTTCTCTAATAAGGTTGAATTAATCATTCTCTCCTTACATTTTGTGATTGGTTGCACACTAATTGTATGATTAGATAGTTAATAAATGATGAACAACAAAGTCAACTCTTTAAATTTTACCGACCCATTAGTAGTTTGACTATCATTAATCGAGCGCAAATTCTATAGGCAAATTACAGAATCAATATCGTAAGAGAGGGGAAAGAAATATTGAAAATTTTCCTTAAAAGTGTAAAAACTTCTCCCAAAATGAAGCATTCCTTATAAGGGTGTGAAAACTTCTCTTGAATAGATTTATAATCACGAGAATGATGAGAATACATAACAAATTAAAACGAACCATATCCACAAGTTAGGTATGGTGCAAGTTTTGGCTCTAGGTAATGATAATATCTTTCAGTGTGTATTAGGTCTGCCGATCTATTTCTTTTTCTCCATTTGCATCTCTCTTATCTTCAACAGAAGCTGAGATCATTGAACCGAAGCAACGAAGAATGTCGTTAACGCATGCCGATTCTTGTTCGATAAATCCTCGGTTTTCATCTGATATTTGATAACCATTGCTACAGCTTAGAATGCAGAAAAGCTTCAGAAGTCCAGAGTGCCACACTGTTTGCTCTCAATGCTTCTCGTTTGTCCATCACTACTTCTTCCCTTCATTTCCCTCTTCTCCGTCTCGTTGTCAAGACCTCGACTCCGCCCAATACCCAACTTCGGCAAACCTCGGTTGAGGCCCTCGAGAAGAACACATGCCTTACACCATTTCTGCATTATGTAAAATAAAGATAACAGATGCTCAGATCTCCAATTATATGAAAGTAAGTTGGTAAAAGGTTTACTTTGGGGAAGAAATCTACAGGAATGGTTCATTATTTGAACACAGTTTTAATTCACCAATAGCAATGCTTTAGTCCCACACAACATGACTATATGGTAAAATGAACTCGATCTACCAGAAAAATGAGGGGATTGGGGACATATATTGCAGTAGTTCAAGCTCACCCTAGCAAATATTGTTCTTTTTGGGCTTTCCCTTTCAGGCTTTCTCTCAAGGTTTTAAAACGCATCTGCTAGATAGAAGTTTCCACATCTTTATAAAGAATGTCTTGTTCCTCTCTCCAACCGATGTGGGATCTTGCAAATATCACATAGAGTAGCTGCAGTTTCTTGTAAACAAAATTCAATTGATGCGTGTGAGATCCTACATCGGTTGGAAAGGGGAACGAAGTATTCTTTATAAGGTGTGGAAACCTCTCCCTAGCAGACGCGTTTTAAAAACCTTGAGGGGAAGTCCAAAAGGGAAAGCCCAAAGATAATAATATCTGCTAGCGGTGGGTTTGAGTTGTTACAAATGGTATCAGAGCCGCCAATGGGGTGGACACTGGGCGGGGTGCCAGCAAGGACGTTGAGCCCCGAAGAGAGGTAGATTGTGAGATCCCACATCGATTGGAGAGGGGAACAAGTGCCCACGAGAACGCTAGCCCCGAAGGGGGTAGATTGTGAGATCCCACATCAATTGGAGAGGGGAACGAAGCACTCTTTATAAGGGTGTGAAAACTTCTCCCTAGCAACACGTTTTAAAAACTTTGAAGGGAAGCCCAAAAGAAAAAACCTAAAGAGGACAATATCGACTAACAATGAGTTTGGGCTATTACAATGAGTTTCAAAAGGAATGGTGAGGAACAGAAAACGTAAACGTAAACGAAAGCAGATCGCAAATACCTCTAGATCAAGCGAGTAGTAAACAATCTACATACAGCTGACAAGTGAGGAGGTGCAGCTGTATGACCAGATTCAGATGATAATATTGGC